ATCGTTTAGTTGATGGTTCGTTTATTTGGAGCAAGTTCTACTCATTCAGATCATCTCCATATCCTGGACAGGACTCCTTACAGCGTGTCATAATATTCGGTGACATGGGGAAGGTACTTTTAATTGTAGTTTTTATTTGCAGATGTCTTTTACTGTTTACATGAGTGGAAGATCCAAGCAGAAAAAGATTTTGAACAATGCCATATACCAGTTACATAGAACTTCCATTTGTGAGGTTGCTTGACAACCATTGCTAGGGGTTTTAGGCATAAGTTCTAGCCTTTCTCTACAATGTCATTTGATTAAATGTTATAAAAGGAGTTAGATTACGTTGAGGTTTTGGTATGTGATACATGTTTGCACCTGCATCTTTCAGGGTGAGCGTGATGGTTCAAATGAGTACAGTAATTACCAGCCTGGTGCACTGAACACTACCGATCAAATCATCAGGGATTTGAACAACATTGACATTGTTTTTCATATAGGAGATCTATCATATGCAAATGGGTACATCTCACAGTGGGACCAATTCACATCACAGGTGGAACCCATTGCATCAACTGTGCCATATATGGTTGGCAGGTTTGTGGAATGGTCCTTACATATTTCTGTCAGTTATATAATTATAAATTAGATTTCAGAAATTCCTTTATGATCTCAGTTGAATGAATATTTTTCTTTGATTCCTGCAGTGGTAATCATGAACGTGATTGGCCTGATTCAGGGTCCTTTTATGACCAAAACGATTCAGGTGGAGAATGCGGTGTGCTGGCTGAGACCATGTTCTATGTTCCAGCTGAGAACCGAGCAAAGTTTTGGTAAATTGCATGACTGCATTTCTAGTAATTTAAAGTATTTATACTTTGAAGGGTGTGAGACCTGATACACCACATCATTTCAATCCGTTTTTATCAACTGCTTTCTTTGCTTTTCTCTGCAGAGCAGTGTCTTTGTTCTTAAGCTTGTGTGCCGCATATTCTAATGAAAATTCTATGAATGTACATACAGGTATTCAACTGATTATGGGATGTTCCGCTTCTGTGTAGCTGACACTGAACATGACTGGAGGGAGGGATCTGAGCAGTACAAGTTCATCGAGAATTGCCTTGCATCTGTGGATAGACAAAAGCAACCTTGGTTGATCTTTTTAGCTCATCGGGTGCTGGGCTATTCCTCTAACTGGTGGTATGGGCAGGAGGGCTCATTCGAAGAGCCAATGGGAAGGGAAAGCTTGCAGAAACTTTGGCAGAAGTACAAGGTAGACATTGCATTTTATGGCCACGTCCACAACTATGAAAGGTCGTGCCCCATCTACCAGGTACCAAATTGTTTAGCCACTTCTAAGTTTAGCTTGAAAATCTTCAGTTCTGGTCTCAATACAAAGTTTTCCAATGACTTCGATTTCATTTCTTTAATCTTTTCGTTGTAGAACCAATGCGTAACGTCAGAAAAATCGCACTTTTCCGGCACATTCAAAGGGACAATCCATGTTGTTGTTGGAGGGGCTGGGAGCCATTTATCTGACTTCAGCCAAGTGAAGCCTAATTGGAGTATTTACAGAGATTATGACTACGGATTTGTGAAATTGACCGCATTCAATCACACATCTCTCCTCTTTGAGTACAAGAAAAGCAGCGACAGTAGTGTCCACGATTCCTTCACCATATCAAGGGACTACACAGATGTATTGGCTTGTATACACGACAGTTGCGAACCAACCACCGCTGCGTCCTAGAATTATAACACTATCTTCAAATTCTTTTCTATTTCATTTGGCAGCTATATATAATGTAATATATGATGCTTGCTTGCTTGTTAGTTCAACTTTGTTGACTATTAGATGTGTTACAAGAGGAATGCAATTATCAATTGGGGTATTATCAAGCCATCAAATCTGAAATAATAAAATTGTCCCCGTGTTTCATTCCAACTTTCATTCATGATATTTTTGTTATACAAGTGATAGTCTAAGTAAGTTACTCTAACATTCATCTTTTCTAGGGCTTCGAACCACAAGGGGATGGGCTTACTATCCTAGTCAACTGGTCCAACACGCACTCATTTATGGGTATAAGGAAAAAAATGATTTATTTCAATTCTTAACTTCCCCATATTTACTAAACAAATAAGGAATCAGAAATTCGCATATCTCACCGTAAAAACAATAATCGCTTTCCAATTCCTTATTCCCCAGTCCTAAGTTCCCATAACACGTCTTGAGAACTTCTATACATTGATGATCATCCCACATCATTACGTAGCTCGCATAAGGATAATCTTGTTCTCCCCTATCAACGGTCTAATTTAAGAGTACAAATAAATTAGAGTAGGCATAAATCAAACCCTACACTCAAGCCATTCAGCTTGACAATGCAAGTTTTAAGAGCCTTTTGGAGCAAATGAACATCACCACGGTGATCACAGTGAGGGTAATGCGTCTGCTGTGTGCTCTGCCTACCATTACTATCAGAATTATCAACTTATCATCAACCAATCATATCAACGTCAGGTCTGTTTCCTTCATCATCTGGTGTGTTGATTGATGCTACCAAATCATCAATTTTCAGGGGGGACCCCCTAACCATATTCTGAAACATGACCTGCAAGGTTATATTCCAAAGAGATTATCAGTATCAGAAAAGATTTTAATAAAATTTTACTGGGCTAATCTTAACATCAAGAAAGAGTGAATTCCACCAGACATTTTTCTACAAACCTTGGAGTAACTATCTGCAAAAGCACGTGCTCGGTTGGACTTTCCAAGGTAATGTAAATCAGCCTTCTCAAGCTTCCCATCCACAACACTCAATCCTCCATCGCCAATAGCAAAACGAAGAAGATTTCCAGAATGCAACCCTGACTGAAAATAAAATGAAAAGTTAAAATACAAAGGCGAATAACATCATCGAATGAAGAAAAATAGGAAAAATGATAAATGTCCCGGCTACCTCTTCACAGAGTTGCAAAGAACCCAGAGGTACCAGCCAGTCAGTTTGTCTGGTCAAGCCCCAAAATGGTTTTACTAGTGGCCTGAGATAGAGCCACACTTTCATCGGAAAACCAAGGGCAAGGGCTAATTTGCCATGTTCGTGGCTTTTGAGCATGGGGTTGGTTGGGGAGAGAAAAGAAGAGGGAAAAAAAGCTACCATGCAAAAGCTAAGAGAAATTTTTGTTTTCAGTGACAGAACACTAAAATTCTGAACACTAAAATTTGTAATGACTGCAAAAGCAGCACCACTCCCTTAAAAAGTCGTCCCACACTTTTAAGCACTACTTGTACTTACTGGGTGCAGATATCCATGTCAATTAGTTGATGTAAAAAATTTCTAGTTTGAAAATTAACTATAAAGCAAACCTTTTGTATGAAGTCCAAATCTAAGCAACTAAATACAACTGGGGGGTCATCTGAGGTAGTCACTTTTCCATCATCTTGCAGCTCCAAAACTACCTGATCATATGGAATGAGAAGGAGAGAGAGGGAGTGTCTGTGTGTGTCAGCCAATCACAATATATATCTAAGTTGTAATGGAAAATACACAAGATATGTAATGAAAAATACCTGTTGATGGCTTGGAACCTGTCCTTTATTATCTGTGTCAATAACATACTGACTGCAGTTCTCATCCTTCCAAACTAATGCCAGTGGTGTATTTCCAGGTTGATAATGAGCATGCCTAGCAAAAACAACAATTTTACATAAATCATATGCTAAAGTAGGTTCCAATAGTATAAATCTGAGAACAAGCACAGATGTAGTGATTCACAGTGACAACATAGGGCATATTTCACAGCTCCAAACAACACCCCTATCAACACTCTCATATCAACAAATTTCAAGTAGTATGAGGAAATGGGCTTACTTGTTATAAAATAAAAGACCATCTTTTACATAAGGTACCCCTCCAGCATATGCAGCATGTAGACCAGACTGATCACAAGTATGTACAGGAACCAAGCTGAACCTATACTTATGATAATGGGAGGGAGACTCACAAGCCCCCGTCTCAGCCAGCTTAGAATTCAACCAAAAGAACCTAAACTCAGCCGTACAATCATACAAAGAGTAGCCTCTCCAGCACACCATGTCGATTACATAGTAAGTCTGGTCCATCTGCATTCATTTCACAACCAGGTTGACAAATTAACAAACACTTAGAGCGCAATGTAAACAAGTAAACAATCAAACTTAAATGATAATTGAATTACTTACCTCGTGAAATATACAGTCTAGGATTGAATATGATTGAGCAGAACCCGACCCGTCTCTGGTCCTGGCACCATTGGGTAGAGCAGACGGGAAACGGTGGAGGACGGTGCCGTTTCGTTGCCTACTGATTGTCGTTCCGTCCGATGAAACGACGAAGCATCTCTTCCCGGATGGTCTCGCAAACACATACCTACACTTACCCAAACCCAAAATTACTTACAAAAAAAAAGTAAAATTATTAGAAAATAAAAACAAATTTTGACGGTGAAAAGTAAACCAGTCGTGGGGCAAGCGATGAGGGACGTCAATCATCCACTCGGGGAGCATGAGCTGTCTGGCGAACCACTTCCGCGCCTCTGTGCCTCTGAGCTTCGAAGCGTTGCGAAGATCGAATTCGAAGTCGGAGTCGGATTCTTTGGACGATGATCCGAGTTCGAGTTCGAGTTCGGGTTCGGGTTCGGGTTCGGAGGGCTGTTCATGTTCGGGCGGGAGGGAGAGTAGGGTGGAGGCTAGGCGGCGGGCCTGGAGCTGTGCGTCGCGCCGGCCTTGCTCTTGGCGCTTCAGCGAGAGCTCTCGGCGCCTCTGCTGATCTGAGATCGCCGGCCTCTTGTACGCGCGGCGGAGATCGTGCGGCGCCATTTTTGTTGTCGTCTGAAAATTGAATTTTAAGGAGTTGGCGTCCTTTTAAATTTTGAAAAACGGTAACGGTGCCTTCAAGCGAATAATAGATGTACAGGGGCTCAAATGCAATATTAGTATAAGCTTTTAACTCAAAACGGCACAGGTCACGTCGTTTGGTGCTTGTCTTCTCTTCAATCAGAAAGAAGTGGAAGCAAATCCCTGCAGAGTCACTGGACCTTTTGCTAAGCCCGCCATTTTCTGAAGTTGAGAAGCTAGGGCATCGATTTCTGAGCTTGACAAGCCATGGAGCAGACGCTGTGGAGCCATTTACCGCTATTGGTTAGGTCCAATTCGAAAGATTCGGTTGAGTACATTCTTCAGGCTCTTTGGAGGACCCGGAAAACCGGTCTGGACCCGGCCGACCGAGACATTATCCGAGATATGCTCCAGCTCCAGAACGAATCGGACCTCGACCCGGTTCACTTCTCTCACTCTCAATTTCTTGTGTTTTGAATTTCGAATTTCTATGAATTTAGCGCTTTTTATTGGGAATTTGTTGCTGAATTTCATTTGAAGGAATTTGTAAATGTCTGGTTTTTTTTTTGGGGGGGCAGCTTTTTGTATGCCTTCGCATGTTGATTCGCAGATGCGTTTACGATAACATCGGGAGAGATGAGATTCAGAAGCTGTTTCCCAGTGAGGTCTTACCTGAGTTACAGAGACTGTTGACGCTTTTGTTGCAGAAGTTTCAACGAGAATGGCGGCAAGATGTACTCAAGGACCAGGTTAGAGATATGAACTTTCAGATGTTCCTGCGTTTGTACGTAAATTCATTGATTTACTGGGGGTAGGAAATTAGGCTAATGTCATGCTGTATATGTAAACTCAATTATGTAAATAGGGTGCTTTGCCACGGTTAAAGACAATGACATGGGACATGGCAAATCCGGATGCAGAATTCGCCGACCCCGTGGCTGTTATCAACTTGAAGGTACTGGAAAACCAACATAACTGCTTGTGAATGTGGTGTTATTAGTATATGTAGTGAAAAGATGTCATTTTTATTTGCTTATTGGTCATAACTTATAACTGCTCCTTCTGCAGCTCCTAAATGATTCACAGTCTCGCTCAAAAGAATCGGAAGTGAAGTTTGAATTAGCTAATGATACTCTAGAAACAATGCTGAATTCCATGTACAGCATAAGAGACCAGTTGTCAAACGTGGTAAGCATTATGTTTGCAGTTTTCCTTCTTCATTCAGTTTCATGTAGTACAGAATGCAAATATTTTTCTCTTAGCTTTTTGGGGAATCTGATTGTGCCTTCCCATCTCCTTCTCAGGGTGAGGCATCAAATGACTATTTATCTCAAGATGCAAATATGTTGTAGATAACCCATATCCCCTGGATACAATGGTATGGCTTGGCTCAAATATTTCTTGTGATACCATTTTCGTGACTAAACCTTGCCAGATTAATTGAAATATGTAAAACCTTTTCTATTTTTGTGTTGTTTCTGTTGGGGGGTCCAATCTAGCTGTAGCATCTGTGACTCGAGGTTTTTACTTCACCATGCCCCAAACTTCAGAGAGGGATTGGTGGTTAGTCAGGATTTTAAAAGCATTTAAAACTCAAGAGTTTCTCTCCCAGATGAAGCTTTCTTCCTTCTGTTTGTTATACGTCAAGAAAAATGCTGTCGAAAGGCATATCATGGTTTAAAGAATGCTGGTAGTGAACCACAAAAGCATGTCAGATTTGGCTTATGGAGTTACTCCACCTGCCATTTTTGTTGTCTTAAAAACCTTAATAACTGAATATTTTTTGGAAAAACAGTACCTTGGACAGTAGAGCTGTGCTTTGAAGATTGCTAGTTTAGCTTCTCACTGTTATTGTTGTGATGCAGATTGAGATAAATGGAACTTGTAAGGAGCTTATTTTTTCCCTTGCTTTACGCCGGCGCAGTTCGTAAAAATGATATCTTTATTTGCTATATTTTTTACACAAAAAATGTTGAAATGACCCATAGATAAGTGTCCCCTTTTCATTTCCTAGATGTTTCCCAGTGCAGTGTTTGATACAACTTTCAAGTGACGAGAAGTTCTTCGAAGAATCCTTTTGTAGTTGGCTAAAGTTCGATGTCATCCTATTTGTGTCTGCCATGTAAAAAGTTGTCAAAATTGACTCGTTTGAACTTTCAATGGCATGCCTTTTGGACGCGAAAATTGTACGTTATGCTTTGTCTGATCCGATGCAATTCACTTTTGTTTGGAGCTTATTGATTTCCAGGAAAACCTCCCTGATTGATTCCTTGCCACCTTTACGGCAGGTTCTAAATGATGTGGTTGAAAGAAACATCATTTTATTATCAGAAAATGACAATAAACAAAAAGAATAAATCATTGTTAATTTCTTTCTCTAATGTCATTTACTTTCATTAGTAAAGTTCATATCTCAATCAAGCCTCTAATTTGTCACCTCTGAAACTTGTGGTTGATGGTTTTAGACTTTTTAGTCACGACCCGTGTGAGTCTTGGTCCAAGCTTCTTTTTTCCAAGTTTGGCGCTGGTCCGTGTGAAACTGGAACCATGGCTGCACCTGCACCAATCAAACCGCATCTCTAAGAAAGAAAAATAGCCACATCAACATTTTGTAATATAATTAAATAGTGGAATTATAAAAATATCTCATAATTGAGGGGTAGATTAGGAAATTAAGCTACAAAGTCCTACATCCATAGTTTGATATTCTTAGCCAGTCACGATACACATGGTTTATAAAATAATGCGACAAAAAGATTTGAGAAATCAAATTCTAAACTTTCTGATTACTTCTAAACAAAGCATGGATTTGGGTTTTGGATTTATGAATTGGAAATCTAACGTGTTAGGTGAGGTAGTTTATTTTAATTTATTTATTATAATCCATGGAAGAAATTTAAAAGAAGAAAAATAGAATTGGTCTTTTGGGTCAACTAATTGGAGTTGTAATGCTGTTGACAATTACAAAAGTCACATTCATGATCCAAAGTGCAGCCTTCGACGAATAGATGGGGTTCTTCTAGTAATTTTCTGGGTCAACACATAAATAATGATTTCTTTTCTTTATTCTCCGTCAGAAAAATAAATCAATTTATTATTTATTTTATTTATCAATTTTCAGGAGAATAATTAAATTCAAGAACTTTACAATTTTATGCCCCTGAAATTATTTAATTTGAAAATTCAATCTTATCCAAACTAATCCGAGACAATAAAAAAGAAATATAATCCAATTGAGGTTGTCTCTTTTTAACTCTGATCCAATTATTCATAAAGTTACTAAGAACGGATAAAATAAAGTCATCATTTCACATTGGTTTTCAACTTCTTTATTATTTTTTCGAGGGTCTTCCACATTTTTGTTTCACTATTTTCTTTAGGAGTTGTTATTAACACTACAAAAAAAGTCAACATGCACTCATTGAAGTATAATTTATTAAGTTTAAACGTGTATTGTTTGACAAGTCCTTATAATTTTATTCGAAAATATTTTCCTTATAATTTTATTCGAAAATATTTTTACTCACTACTTTAACTCAAGAGGTATTATCACCACTCTTCTCAACAATTGGCACGTGTCCATAGGCCTAATTATAGTTAAGTTTTTACTTTATATTTATGGAACCATAATTATGCCCATGAATACGTATCAAATGTTGAAAATAGTGGTGAGGCTGCACTTTGAATTAGAATAGTGGGCGAAAATGCTCTGATTTTATTAAAGATGAGTGTTTAAGCATACACTCTTATTGATTTTGAATTAGATATCGTGTTTCTTAAAATAATAATAAAAAAAACCAAAGATAGTAGCTCCTGAATTGCATCATCAGCCGAAGAAGGAAAACCTAAATTTTTTCATTTTTGTGCAATATACATGTGAATGGGGAGAAATTAGGTTGTTATTATAACCATTTTATGGTGTGAATGCGTTATATTTTAATGAAGAAACATTCATGGCACGTTATTTAAAAATGTCATTATTCTTTAAAAATTCCTATTATCGTGCAAACCGAAAAGAAAGTATATAGGTTGGATAGTGGGCCCCAGCCCATTTGACCCAATCAAAAATGGGTAAAGAAAAGAAACTAAACCGCAGGTTAGCATCAGTGCACAGCACCGCAGCCGATCCATTCAAGCACTCCCAACTTCGATAAGGAGGAGTTTCCCGTAACTCACTCTTCTTTCCTCTTCTTTTCTTTTTCCTTGTCCAAAAACCAGCACAACGTAAAGCAGCCGGCCAAAGCAAACAGACAGTTTGGTCATTTCAGTTGCAGACTGGGGAAAAGAGAGACGAACTGCCCTAAAACCATAGCCAAACACCCCCAAAATCACCAACTCCGCCGTCACCGAATGATCTCCGCCTCCCCTAATTCCAGTTTTGCCAAATCCAAATCCAAATCCTAATAGGTGTTCCCTTATCCCCACTCCCAAACAACACTTCATCTCCAGCCTAAACCTAGAACCCAAACGACTCCCAAATGACCACCACGACCACGAGCATAGGTGGTGGCGGCGAGGACCGGGTCCTCGCCACGGCTCAGCAGATCGTCAAGAGCCTCAACACCCCCAAGGAGGTGCGCGAGGACATGCTCTTGATCTTCTCTAGCTTCGATAACCGCTTATCCAACATCACCGATTTGATCAACGGCGAGGATTCGAAGGCCGAAAACGACCGATTCGAGGCCGCCGAGAAGGTGATTTTTCGGTGGGAGTCGAATTCCGAAGCTCACAGAAACTCGGTTCCTTGGGAGGAGTCGCCGGACGAGTCTGGCGAGTATTTATCGGCCGTCGATGAGATCCTCACTCTCATGGAGGGGCTTTCGGTCCGGTCAGATAACGAACTCGTGGACCGGGCCGAAAACGCGCTCCAAATCGCGATGACCCGGCTCGAGGACGAGTTCCGCCACATTCTGATCCGAAACACAGTCCCGCTCGACTCAGAGCGGCTTTACGGCTCGATCCGCAGGGTCTCACTGTCGTTCGCCTCAAACGACGGAGAAATCGACGAAGAATTCGAGAGTTTCGGCGAGGAGGACCGAGATGCCGGCCGGTTCCACGAGCGCGGCGGCAGCCTCGGTGACACAGACGTGGATTTGATACATCCCGATGCCGTCGTCGAGCTGAAGGAGATCGCCGAGCGTATGATCCGGTCTGGTTACGAAAAGGAGTGTATTCAGGTGTATAGCAGTGTCAGGCGTGACGCTTTGGACGAGTGTTTAGTGATTCTTGGGGTTGAGAAGCTGAGCATTGAGGAGGTTCAGAAGATTGAGTGGAAGTCTTTGGATGAGAAAATGAAGAAGTGGATACAAGCTGTGAAAATCGGCGTTAGGGTTTTGCTAACCGGAGAAAGGAGGCTTTGTGATCAGATTTTTGAGGGGACTGATGAGACTAGGGAGATTTGCTTCAATGAGACTGCTAAAGGGTGTATTATGCAGCTTTTGAATTTTGGACAGGCGGTAGCCATTGGTCGAAGGTCGCCGGAGAAGTTGTTTCGGATACTTGACATGTATGATGCCATGGCCGATGTGTTGCCGGACTTGCAGCAAATGGTGACTGATGAATATGTGGTTATTGAGGCCAGGGGAGTGTTGGATGAGCTTGGTGACGCAGCCAAAGGGACCTTTGCAGAGTTTGAGAATGCGGTTCAGAGCGAGGCCAGTAAGAAACCAATGCTAAGCGGTGAGATTCATCCGCTTACTCGGTATGTCATGAACTATGTTAGATTGTTGGTTGATTATAGTCATACTCTCAACTCGCTTTTGGATACTGGTGAAGAAGAGTTACAAAGGTTGCAAGGGTTGCCAAATGATGATTTGGGTATAGAAAGCATGTCCCCGATAGGCCATAGGTTGTTGTTGTTGATTTCGAATTTGGAGTCCAATCTTGAGGAGAAGTCTAGGGTTTATGATGATGGAGCAATGCAGTGTGTGTTTTTGATGAATAACATTCTGTACATAGTGCAGAAAGTGAAGGATTCTGAGATTAGAAAGCTCTTGGGAGATCAATGGGTTCGCAAGCGCCGTGGCCAGGTACGCCAGTATGCTACTGGGTATCTTAGAGCTGCTTGGAGTAAGGCCTTGTCTTGTTTGAAAGATGAAGGAATTGGTGGGAGCACGAGTAATGCTTCAAAGATGGCTTTGAAGGAGAGGTTTAAGAATTTCAATGCAAACTTTGAAGAAATCTATAGGATCCAGACAGCTTGGAAGGTCCCCGATGCTCAACTTCGGGAGGAGCTTCGGATATCTATATCAGAGAAGGTGATTCCGGCTTACAGATCGTTTATGGGGAGGTTTGGGAGTCAGCTAGAGAGTGGAAGGCATGCTGGGAAGTATATAAAGTACACAGCAGATGATTTGGAGGGCTATGTGTTGGATTTGTTTGAGGGGACTCCAGGTGTTCTGCACCATCTGAGAAGAAAAAGTACATAGAATACAGGTAAACCCTTTGCTTTTATCAAGGACTAGTTGGAAGTTGGAACAGAGTTCTAATGTTGAAAAAGAAAAAAAAAGAATGTAGCTTGATGATGATACCTATTTATTCCGCTGGTGTTAATGTTATAAACACAGGTTTTTGTGAACGCTATTTTCCAACCCCTCCTATCTTTTGCTGTAATGATTTTTGTACATGTTTTTAGAGACTTTAGTTTTTTGTATGCATGGATTTTTTTCATGGTTCATGTATTTGATTGCCATGATCGCCAGCGACATTTGTATGTCATCTGCGTGCGGAAGAAGAACTAAAACCGTCACTGTAAAACATTAAATTTGATATACACAAAGATTCAGAAACATGTATCATTACAGTTTTAAATTTATTTTCCCTTCTAAACATGAGTGACAATTGCTTGTGCATGAACTGAGAAATTGCTTGAGGGTTTGAATGGTTTTCTGCGAAGTTATCAATCTTTCAAACCCTTTTTACTTTTAAGAAAAAAAAAACAAACAAACAGAAAGGTTTTTGGGGGCAATAATTAACTTTGGTATTGCCATTTCCTCATCTTTTAATGAGATTTTGGAATTGTATGGAGGCACTCTTAGGAATTAGGTATCACGTAATTCACTTCTAAATTTCCAAGATTGATACTTGACGCCGTGGCTAGAGTAGCAATTTCCTTGCTGCTGAATTAGCATACCCTATATAGAGCATGGTTTCATAGGGAAGATCATGAAGTTTTCTAGCTCATCTAATTTTCTTTGAGAAATGATGAACTTATTTACAGGATCATTGAAGCCATCGCTGGACGAAGT